ATATGTAAATTCCACGGCATGCTATTTTTCTTCCAAAAAATTGCTTCCCCGATCTCTACAATCTTAACCTGTTCATGCCTTGATCCATAACCGTTATTTTTCCCACGTATTTGAACATGCTGTACCTCTTATTTTCTAACACTCTAACTCGAGTGGCTATCGGGCCTTCACTGTAAAAAAATATGCATTTAAAAATATCTATAAAGTTTTCTTTGATTTGTGAGTGCTACTATAGTATATCTACCGTCCATTTTTTAATATATATATATATATATATATATATATATATATATATATATAATATTTTTTTATTATAATTTTATCATATAGACAAAACCATGAAGGCGTTAGTTAGATGCAGTGACGGGATCCAAAGATTGTGAGTTCAATACCTGGTTAAGGTAGTGGAGAACTTTCAGAGTGGAATTAACAGGAGATAACTGACATCCATTAGCCATGGCACGTGGAACTAGAACAGACTGCCCCAGTGAGCGAAATAAAGGGTTAAGTTCGACATGCCAACCACCTGAAGAAGGCCGGAGCGTACAACGGCCGAAACGTTGTGATAAATATGACGACAAAGATGAGGACAATAGTCCGAATAATGTCAATAGTGTACATAATACCTCATCTCAGAAATATAGACAGATACTGAGGCAAAACGATTTTACTCACTACAAAGATGCATCTTTGTTTCAGTGCATTTCAACTGCACTTCGACGGGTGAGAACCGAAAACGATGGGGGAGTTGTGTACATAATTAATACATCGTCATTTATGTTAGATCACAAATGCCTCGGTAGATAGTAGCGCCAATTTCTCACTTGTCGAAGTGCAGTTGAAATGCACTGAAACCAAGTTGCATCTTTGTAGTGAGTAAAATGGTTTTGTCTATATGATAAAATTATAATAAATAAATAAATAATTATCGCTCTACTATCTGTATCAAGTCCTCTTTTGGATTAATACTGTGAACGTTGAATTATATATATTACTTTCTTCATCTCATCGCATCGGATATATATATATATATATATATATATATATATATATATATATATATATATATATATATACCATATATTGTGCACCACATATTTGATTTAAAAGAACTGATCTGACGTGCAAATTTTCGGGATAACAGTTGCGACATTACTCTATTTATTGAACACTTTAGTTCATATCAACAACAAAAAAAATCCTCAAATTACTATATTAGTAAAAATTGCACTCGCTGATGCTACCTGGATTTACTAAAATCAAAATAATTTCCATGTCTGAGGATGACTGTATATACAGTTGAAAGTACTAGCAGATTTTAAATGATCTTATACAGCTTGCAGTTATTAAAAACAAGGATCATAACATTCATCGAGTGGTTCGTAGGTTAATGCAACTTTAAAATTTTGTTTGCGAAGAGATTTCGCCATTTTATATCATTAACTTTACTAATCTACATTTTTGGAATGAATGATTCATTGTAATACATACATACATATATATATATATATCTCTACAAATATTCTTAAATGTCTATAATTTCAATAATTGGTAACAGAAGCCATTGGTTATACCAACGGCTTTCCTTATTTCATTCTCCAATACACTCTCGTGTAGTCATGTGTGACGTCATGAGATGCGGTGCGATTTTCGCTTCTAGCGTCTTATGCGCGTGTTCATCGTTGCTTAGTGATCCACTATGTAAACATAACAATGACAGACTATATCATCACTGTCGTGTCCGTATATTGTTTGATATGTTTGTATTTACATCTTCGATAATGGCTTGAGTAAGCCGAAAGCTTAGATTTTATTAAAAAATAATGGATAAATATTGTGAATTTCTTTTTTCGGTTAACGATAATGTTACCAAACTTATCAGAAGATACGAAAAAAAAACATAAAATAAATAGACAACACTTGTCTATATTATTTAATGAAACGTGTATAAATATATATATATATATATATATATATATATATATATATATATATATATATATAGATAGATAGATAGATAGATAGATAAACCTAGTGATTTCAGACAAACCTACCCAGGTTTCACCTGAGCGGATCGTCAAGGAAAGCTGGCTAAAGAAGCAAAAGGAAACAGCAAAAGGGAAAAATGTGAAACCTTGATAGGTTTTCTAGCTCACTAGGTTTGACTAGGTCTGCTCTACGGTTGTATTGAGCTCTTTTGTTAGTTGTTTACTCGTGTCGGGTTTTTTTCTTTGGGCTTTAAACTTGTATCCGTGCGATTTTTTCGACAGACTTTCATGTTTCTAGCTCTTTCTTTTTTAAAACCTTTTTTCCTTCGAGATTGATTTGATTATTGGCAAATCGAAAATTCGAAAGTTTTTTTTTTAACAAATATAGTTACATATATATATATATATATATATATATATATATATATATATATATATATATATGTGTGTATATATATACAATTCATTTTCTACGATGGTATGATATTTACCAACTATGAGAAGTATAAAATATGTTAACCCATTACCTGCCATGAGCCCCATATGGGCATCTGTTAAAATTAAATTCACTACATGTTATTCTTTGTATTTACATTGAATTACTTACATACATTACATTTGCAGAGGTATATTTTACAACACTTAGCCTTTAAAGTTTTTATTATTAGCCGTAAGAAAACACTGTCGTAATTTTACATTTCATGAGTAGAAAAATAATGACTATTTTGAAAAGTATTTTTTTAATTATTTCTAATCAATATTATTTTTTGATGTTTTATACACATATATATTTGATGTTCTAGTTTCTATAAAAATGACAATGGTAACTACTGAAATTAAACATAAGGAATAAATAAACTCCTAAGGCACCTGTCTGGGCCAAAAATGCGCATTAAAAAAATTTGGCAGTTAATGGGTTAAGGTTAGGGTTAAAGGCAGTGAACTGGTTACGTTTTAATAATCATTAACAGTTTTTTTTTAAATGACAACAAACAGTGATTTTAATGTTTGCAAATTGTTTTGATGACAGTAAACATGTCATCGTTTTTCCTGATCATTTTCCAGCAATAATGAAGGCAACGTTATTTACGGAAGCCCGTAAATGTCTCGTTAGATATCATAGTTAAAAAAAAATAAAATAAAATAAAACAGAATTCCTTTAAAAAAAAAGTTTTTTTTTTTTATTTGGGACTTGGGAAGTGGATTGGTGTGAGAATCCCCCCCCTTATGAACAAACAACAGGGTGCCTCTCCGTCTTTCACCCACCGGAGAAATCAATCACCATGTTGTGTTTCACTTCTCTTTCAGTAAGCTCTCCATGGCTTTTTAATGTATTTAAGCATCTAATATTTAAAGCAAGCTATCAGTACATTACAAACACACTTTACCTTCTTTTTTTTTTTACAATGATGTTCACCCTGTACAAATCCTAAGAGCCACTCGAGGCAGAGTAAGAGGAACAGTTTATGAGGATGCGTGGGGAAGATAACAGTTGACCCTAGTCTTGAACAGGTTAAGATTGCTGTGATCGGGGAAGCAACCTCTTGGGAGTTGGTTACATAATTAGTACATCGTCATTTATGTTATATCGCAAATGCCTCGGTAGATAATTGCAACCATTTGTGTTTATGTTTATTTAAATTTTGGATTTAATCTAGAAATACAATTTTAGGTTATATAATTCTTGAATCCACTTCATACTATGTCCTTGAAACAGTTATTAGGGAGCATGAAAAAGTGATGAAAAATTATATATATATATATATATATATTCATTGTATATTTATAATTTATGTATTTGTTAATCTATATTTATTATGTATTTATATGATTTATTTATGCTTTGTCTACAAAGACGCGGATAAATCTGAATGCAAATAACACATATACTTAATGATATTTACATTCACACTTATTATATATACATATACTGCACAAATACACACAAATGTCGGCACACACAGACACAGAAACACACACGCATATATATATATATATATATATATATATATATATATATAATAAACGTAACAAATCCGTTGTTATAATATATAAATATATGTGTGTATGTGTGTGTAAATAATTCAAGAATATAAATTTATTACGTATATAAATATTCACTGTTATTTGCATTTCCGTCATCAAACTTACCTTTTACTATATATATATATATATATATATATATATATATATTTTTTTTTTACCTTTACTATTAAAGGTAAGAAAGAATTATTTGATAAAATGAAAATTTTTAACATAATATTATATACGTAATAATATTTACATTCAACATTATTAACATATATATATATATATATATATATATAAAGGTAACAAATATATAATATAATGCATATAATCCAAGAAGTAGTTCCTAGCAATATAAAATATTTAAAACTGATCCACAAAAAATGCTCAATGCATTTACTATTACAGAGCAAATAGTTAATAAACAATAAAATACAAAAATCAAGTCTTATGGGGAATATATATATATATATATATATATATATATATATATATATATGAAACTGGGATTCCTTAATGGTTTTTACAGTGTAGTAGGGCCCGATTTGTATCAGCAATGAATGAATGCTTGTCTCCCGCCATTTTTAGGCCCCACCAACTCATTCGGGAAACCTTTAATTATTTTCATTCAGCAGTAGTAGTAGCAACAACCTGACCCTTTTGAAATAAAGGGGTAGAGGTCTGTCTGTCTGTCTTCCGTTGAGTGTGAGCAACGGGTTACAAACAGACAGACAGAGTTTCTCCTTGCAGGTCATGAGAAGAAGAAAATAATGAAAATAAAAATAGAAAACGCCCCGTCCTACCAGTTGTACTTGATGACTGTCTCTTTGTATCACGTGTTCACTGCTGGCCAATCAAAAGATGAATGAATTGCGCCAAAATTCCTTTATGTCGTTTTTGGCGGGTAAAAAGTTTGATCTTTGTGTCAGGGGCGGCATGTTCGTGTGTATAATTTGTGTGTGTGTGTGTGTGTGTATTTTATAGTTATGTGCCGGAAGCCATCTGTGGTAGGTAAGACGGCTTTTTAGGTGGGTAAATGTTGACCCTGGCGTCGACCCTTATAGTCTGCAAAGAATTGGAAGAAGTGAGAAAAGTTTTTGAAAAGTAGGAAACGGGTAAGAGGCATATGGGGATTAAAAAAAGGGTTTCACACAGATAGATAGATAGATAGATAGATAGATAGATAGATAGATAGATAGATAGATAGATAGATAGATATGAACAGGCTGAAATAGATATATAGATATGAACAGGCTGAGATAGATAGATAGAGAGACAGACTGACGGATAGATAGATAGATAGATAGATAGATAGATAGATAGATAGATAATAATTTATATATTTAACATCTTGAGATAGATAGATAGATAGATAGATAGATAGATAGATAGAATTGTGTATATATTAATAGAATAGAAAGAAGATAGATAGATAAATAGATAGATAGATAGATAGATAAATAGATAGATAGTAGATAGATAGATAGATATGAATAGAAAGAGATAGATATATAGATAGGAACAGGCGGAGATAGACAGACAGGCAGACAGACAGACAGATAGATAGATAGATAGATAGATAGATAGATAGATAGATAGATAGATATGAACAGGTTGAGATAGATAGATAGATATGAATAAATTTTAATATATGAAAAAATTATGGCAGACAGATATATAGATACATATAAACAGACCTATTACATATAGACAGCTATTTCCGTAACGCTGGTCTTGCGTAAACACGCACACGCGGACATACACATAAAACACAGACACACACACAAACCAGATACACCGAAAAACATCTCCTCTCACACATAATCTATATCTGTTTATATTTACTTAAATATGTGCGTGTGTGTGTGTGTGATAACGTGCCTGATATGAAATATTCGAACAATCTATTTATTTTTCCTTTTTTTAAAATTTTATTTTTCTCAATAGAAGTAGATAGTTTCACCCATTCCCCTGTTCACACTCCTCCCTGTTTTTTTTGTTTTTTTTTTAACAGGAATATAGTTTTGGCCCTTATTTCTTGTTTCGAATTGGGTTTCCGGTTCCTTCTAAAGATTTTTCTTTCTCTTCGATTTCCAGTAGCCCGTTGCGTCTTAGTGGCATTATTGCCTTGCCTGGTGTGAATTGATTAAAAAGAAAAAAAATATGGAAGATGGGATGTGTGAAAACCCGTCCAATGATTAATTTTTATTAAAATGAAGTTGTCAAACGTTTCGTTCAATTAGAACATCATCCGAATAACTGAAAGATTAGAGAAAAAAATCGTTATCTTGCTATTTATAATCGGTGTGGTTACTTTGAAAAAAATAAATGGAATGACATGAAAGCCATTTCTTCAAGTCCAAGATATGGGTCAGACAGCAGAGTAACCTGCCTGAAGGAGGAGCATTTTTTTCAGCTCCAATTTCAAAATCGTAAAGAAGGCAATAAGAAGCCGTTATTCTGTCGTTCCTAAAGTAAATGGAATTTACATATGATAAGAAATAAGAAACTATGGAGAATAAAGTTAATTTACAGGAATAGATTTTAATATATATATATATATATATATATATATATATATATATATATATATATATATATATAATATTATATTGATAAACACACACACACACACATATATATATATATATATATATATATATATATATATATATATATATATATATATATATATATACATATAAATATAAATTCCCAAGAGGATAGAATCTAGGTAGAACTCAATGTCCAGGACAGAGTTTCTCCAATAAAAAAAAAACACTAATATTCCATGGTTATAATTTTTACATTAGAATCGTAATTGACGATCCAATTTCCTGAACGGACCTACAAATTTAAACAGACTGATGAATTGGATCGTATTACATTTTCAATTTAATAAATTATAACCATAGAATATTAGTGTTTAAGCCTTTTAATGCAATTTTTTATATATATTATTTATATATAATAATATTTATATATTATATTATATAAGCGCTCAATATCATTGATAGGGCTAACATATTTAGTTGGAGTGATGTGAGTTTATGGTGAAACCCTGGTTCACGAACTCATATCAATCCATCTATCTATCTATCTATCTATCTATCTATCTATCTATCTATCTCTATATATATATATATAGAGAGAGAGAGAGAGAGAGAGGGGGTAGATAAAAAGAGAGAGAGCGGGAATGAACAGAATGAGATAGAGAAAGATAGGTTCAGATTGAAATGAAACAAATTGAGATTTAAAGATATTGATAGAGAGATATAAGCCGGATGTTATATATATATATATATATATATATATATATATATATATATAGAGAGAGAGAGAGAGAGATGGAGAGAGAGACTGATATATATATATTTATATATCTATACCTACATATATATATATAATGGCTAAAAGTATAGCCGAAAGCGCTATGTTACATTAAATATTCGGACAATTTTTATATAATTTATGTCCTGAAAAGAAAAAAAAATCATAAGTATACATTTATGGTATATTGTTTTCTACAAGAGACATGTAATGCAATTAACGAAGTAGTGTCCAAGTGGATTTTTATGCTCTCACCATTTTGCCATTTCTGGTCGCAGATCCATTCGCACCGGGTTTTCTGATCATAACATGTCTCATGTCGAAAACAAAGTCTTTGAAAAAGTTTTTAAATAAATATATATATATATATATATATATATATATATATATATATATATATTGAAATATATATAACATATGCATGTAGAATATATGCATGCCAGGAGTCCTGACTTTTTTATTTGGGGTTAGTTAAGTTGGGCATGTCTACTATAAGGCACCAAGACTTTGGAAGAACTTGAAATGTGAATACAAAAATTATGTCTTCCATACAACAAGAATTCCTGGTGAAATTAGTTGTATGACATGATTCCTTGGCGGCTCGAGAAGCTGGTAGCGAAATTTGGTGCCCATATCCGACGTGCAAATTTTCGGGATAACAACTGAGACATTATTTATTGAACAATTTAGTTCATGCCACATTGACTGATAAACTCCTAAAAAAAAAAAAAAAAAAAAAAAAAAATTCTCAAATTGCCATATTAATGAAAAAATGCATTCTCTTAAATTTTCAAAAACTTCAATTTTAGCGTTGCGACTGCACCTCGCATTTAATTTTTTCGTCTCGGATGCTACCTGAATTTTACCAAAAACAAAATAATTTCCATGCCTGAAGATGACTGAATGTACAGTTGAAAGTACTTGCATATTTAAGAAAGACCTTATACAGTTTATAATTTTTAAAAACAAGGATCATAACATTCATCGAGTGATTTGTAGGTTAATGCACCTTTAAAATTTTGTTTGCGAAGGGATTTCGCCATTTTATATCATTAACTTTACTAATCTACTTTTTGTATGAATGACACTGTAATATATATATATATATATATATATATATATATATATATATATATATATATATATATATATGTAAAATATGTAAAATAATATTATGTTATTATAATAAATGTAAATAAAAAAAGCCAGACTAACCTACCTAGGTTAGTCTGGCTCTTTAGGTTTACTTGGTTTGCTCTACTTAGCGTATTGAGTAATTTGTTTTGTTATTTTTACTTTACTCGTGTCGGAAGTTTTTTTTCTTTGGACTCTGAACTTACATTCTAGGTGATTCTTTTCGCCAGAAGTAAATGTTCTTAGTTCTTTCTTTTTTTTTTACCCTTTTTCACCTTGGGTATTGCTTTGTTCATTTATAAGTGTAAACACCTAAGGTTTTGCTGGACGAGTATAACTGCTTACATTTATAAGGTTATACATACATACATACATACATACATACATATATATATATATATATATATATATATATATATATATATATAAGAAAATCATATATTGAATCAATCAGCAATAAAATATATGCTGCCTAATATTATATGTATATATATTACAATGAATCATTGTAATATAATATATATATATATATATATATATATATATATATATATATATATATATATATATGAAGAGATATACTTTTTTCTTGTGCTATATTTATGGGATAAAGTGCTCAATATCAGAGATAGAGCGTGTGTAAATATAAAAATGAACATTGAAGTCAAACGTTAGGGCGTCTAGCATGAAACAGCCTGAAGTGTTGGTTATTTTATCTATTATATATATATATATATATATATATATATATATATATATATATACAAATTAAAAATGAGTGGCTTTTGAAGATTTCTATGGCCGGCCATCTTCCCAAACAAATTTTTTTTTATTTTCATTTCTTTTCGATTCTCTTTTGATTTGGTTTAAAATCTTTTCAGCAGAGTTCCATAAATAATTCTCACATGCAAGATTCATTGTATATGTATTTACCCTTTTCCAGGCTACATACCGACCAGCTTCATCTGACCGATTGACACCCCCCGCCCCCGCCACCGGGGTCATATGTCCCCCTTACTTACAAGTTTTCCTCGACCCTCCTCCGTTTGCCTACTTCTCTTCAGTGTCTATTTTTGTACATAGCTAAGATGAGGTTGAAATAACGAAAATCCAAGGGATTAGGGCAAGTATGGATGTACATAGGAATGTAGGGAGAAGGGCAAAGGTCAAGTCAGAACTGAATTAAGCAGTGAGAAAAAACTAACAGTGCCGAAAAAGTTTGAAGAATTCAAAATAAGTGCGCGTGTGTGAGTGTGTAGTTTTTGTGTATGTATGCTTTAAACCCTGTGTGTGTGCTTTGTGTGTGTGTATGCTTTGTGTGTGTGTGTGTGTGCTTTGTGTGCGTGTACGTTTGCCTATTTATCAGTATCTGTGCGTGTGTATTTAAGACTTACGGAGTGATAACAAGAGTCAGTACTCTTACGATAAAATTACATATATATAGTTCGGATTTATAAGTAGTAAAATTGGTAATGGAATCGGTAGACTTCATTAGCCTGGGGAAAAAGGTAGATGTGAACAGACAAACAGATAGATGTGAACAAATATATATATATATATATATATATATATATATATATATATATATATTTCTGTAGTTCACTGCTACCAGCAAGCAGAAAATTATTTTTCTCCTGATGATGGACATGTTGGCCGAAACTAGTTGAGGAGTCTAAATGAAATAATAATACAAACGAAGGAATATTAATATACAACCCAGTGTGTCTGAAGATTTTAAGTTTTTAATATATTTCCATTTCTATAACATGGGCAATATACTGCGGGAGTTTCAGCTTATAATATGAGCTCTATCAACTCTATCTATATTCATTCGGCAGAGTGAAACAGCTAAATCTAGCGTATTGTTTTTACGAATGGAAACAAATGCCAATCAGCCGGAGTGCTCTATTCATTTTACTGAAGGTGGCTGTTGTTTATAGAATTAGCTTATCACTCAACAGTGCTTAATTGAAATATATTTTCAAGACTTAAATGATAATTATATATATATATATATATATATATATATATATATATATATATATATATATAGATAGATAGATAGATAAATGTGAACAGATAAATAGATAGATATGAACATTGACTGAGTGATACATAGGTAGATAGATAGATATATATATAGATAGACCAATAGATTTGAAAAAGATAATAGATTGATAGAGATATATAAAATAGATAGATAGATTTAGATAGATTTAGATAAATGAATATGAACAGACTGAGATAGATTAATAGGTATTTATTCTTTGACAGGTATATATATATATATATATATATATATATATATATATATTTAGAGAGAGAGAGAGAAATGTATAGATAGATAGATAGATAGATACAATAGATAAAAAAATTATAAGACTTATGCTTGTAAAATGTTTGTTAAAGCGTTGATAGTTTGAGCAGATTAAGTTTATTAAATATTTCATGTTCAAAATGGCCTCATGTATCACTCATATAAACATCAATATACACTGATGCTTTTTTCTTTTACTTATAAAAAAAATTCGTTCCATTTTGCAAAATGAAACCTGATACCAACATATAAGTTACCCTAATATTTTTTTCAACGCTCATATTATAAGCTGAAACTCACGCAGTATATTGCTCATGTTATAGAAATGGAAATATACCCTGTAAATTTTACCAGCGATGGTTAATTTTCTTATGAAAACGCTAAGTTGCATAATAAAATCTGACACAATTATACAATCATTTTATTTCCAAATTTAATGGATGCAGTTCTTAATTATCGTTTTTATTGTGCACTGCGGGCGCAATACTGGCTTCCTGAAGACATTTCTCGTAGCGAAGAGGTTACGAAACAATATCTAAATGCCTGCTTCCTGGCAGTTTTTCGGTGCACAATATCTTCTTAACATATCGAGACATCTCAGCTCACTGGAATATTTCTGTGTGTATAATTTCAGTGTTGTGGTAAATTCAAATACAGCGTATCTGGTTTTTTTTTTTTAATTTTTTTGTCGTTGTTGTTTTTAGGCATATTAGATTCTGGCAACATTTGCGAAATGCTTAAAATACGTCATTTTCTTTTTATTCAGTAGAAAATGTCGTCTCGTGTGATTTGGTCTTTAACGAAGACTGAACGACCGACAACTATATTTATTAATCTTGACAGACTTTAACGTAAGGCCACCTACGTCACATACACGAAATGGGTTGAATCGACTTACATCAATTATAGCCAGCGAAACTAACTTACTAATATTAACGTCAAGATCTCTGTGCTTACGTATAGACATGTTTGCTTATATGTGTGTGGGTACAGGGCCTGTGCGTACTACTTTCGAATTTCCCCACGTCAGGGAGACCCCAAGCCTGATTGGGGACCCCGAATAGTCCTTTGTGCTTCTCGCTATCTTATCAACAATTGCTTTTTTTCTGTCTATATTTATATATGTTACAAATTAAATTAAGCACAACTGACTATTAAAGATTCCGCACATTTTGATGTCATTCTGGGGTCATTTTTCTTTCGTCCAAATCCGTGAATTTGTTTTTGTTCATGCTACGTCTCGGAAAAACCAAACAAAAAAACGCTGTATAAAATTTACTATTTTTTCTTTATCCATAATGTTGAATGTGTTAAAATTAATTAATTTTTTAACAAGAAAAATTACGAGTCAATTTTTATTACCGCAAAATATTGTTGATTTATTTAAGATGAAATGATCTATTTTTGTCAGGTTTGTGTTTAGATACATTTTATTTATTTTAATTTTTTTTCTAGTTGAATTGTTTACCTATATTGCATATGATTCATTATTGCACTTAATGAAGTTACAAGAAAATTTGTATTTTATACGAAGACCACTTTATGACAATTTGGACGACAGTTTATCCATCGCACCCTGTATTATGACATGTCTCTAATTTGTATTTAGATATATTGTATTTATTTTTAATTTTTCTAGTCGAATTGTTTACCTATATTGCATTTAATCCATTCTTGTACATAATGAAGTTGCATTAAAATTTGTATTTTATAAGAATACTACCTTATGAAAATCGAGATGTAGTAGGTTTGGGGCGCTATATATTTGGGGCGCCATATCATACATTGGGGGAGGCGTATCATAGATTTATAGTGGGGGCACGAGACCTTGCAACAGCACTGATACAGATAGATAGAAAGAGAGAAATAGAATAGAATAGAATAAAATAGAATAGATAGATATATAGATAGAAACTTAGGTGGATATTAAAAGAATAAGATAGATAGATAGATAGATAGATAGATAGATAACAAGAAAAATCTCAAGTTGATGTTAAAAATTGCTACAAAACATTGTTGATTTTTTAAGACGGAATGATCAATTATGACATCCATTAAACATGGCACGTGGAACTAGAACAGTCTACTCCAGTGAGCGAAAGAAAGCGTTCAGTTTGACATTCCAACCACCTGAAGAAGGCCGGAGCGTACAACGGCCGAAGCGTTGTAATAAATATAGCGACAAAGATGAGGACAATAGCCCGAACAATATAAATAATGTACATAATACCTCATCTCATAAATATAGACAGATACTGAAAGGCCGAAACGTTGTAATAAATATGGCGATAAAGATGAGGACAATAGTCCGAATAATGTAAATAGTGTACATAATACCTCATCTCAGAAATATAGACAGATACAATTGTAACATGTCCCTAATTTGTATTTAGATACATTGTATTTACTTTCAGTCTTTCTAGTTGAATTGTTCACCTTTGTTGCTTATTATCCATTATTGTACATGATTAGGCTACAATAAAACTTGTATTTTATATGAATACCACCTTATGAAAATTTACATGTACTAGAGTGGGGGGGGGCTCATATTATAGATTTGGTGGGGATCCATGAGACCCTTGCACCGACCCAGCAT